CTCATAATACTTGGCTAAAGTTTAAAGAGGTCAGAAGTGTTGCAATCACTGTCACCTCTCCCTACACACCTCTCAAATCATGGCACACATCTGTGACAGTGGCTACCTTCTTAAGGAAGCCAATTTCTCCAGTTTAATTTTATATATAAGACATATTTAAGCCGTATGACCCAGTTCATTTCATCTTTGAGGGGGCTTTCATCTTCACCATTAAATGATTTGAATAAAATAATCATTTAACCCCATTATACAGAAAGATTGAGTCGGAACACCATCTATTTTGGCAACTACCTCCACCTAGAGTGAGACCAGTCCCAGGGGAATGGAAACTAGTGCCCCAGCATGATGCTATTTTAGTGAAAATTAACGAAGGCTTATAACGTAGGCTCTGTCACTAACCTACATTTTTCTGATGCTTCCAGTCCTTTTTGGTTTTCTAACTTTGAGTTTTCTTTCTTATCAACATCTCTCTACATGGGTCTGGGCCTCCACCAAGATCTTGATTTGTGGGGTACATAGATTCTTTCCATTTATTAGTTGGCTGTTCAGGGTGCCTGTGAAAGAGTACCTCCACCTTGCTCCCAGAAAGGCTAAGAGCTGCATTAAAGTTTCAGATCCCTCAGGTGCACTAGCTGCTATAGAAGTTAGCTGGCTTAGCTTAACAAGTCCCTGCTTCTTGTGCAACATCAACAGCAGGAAGAGGCTGACATTTGGGTGGTCAATCACTGTGGTTTGCTCCGGCTGAGGTAGTATCTGGGACAGAGGACTTTCAGTACTAAAACAGAAATGCCCTGTGCAAACCTGGAATTCTTTGTCACCCTTAATGGGTGACTGGTTGGATTCTAGCAAATCTGGCACACATTAGAACTTTCATATAAAGTGGCAAGTCCAGTGCAAGTGGTACTAATGCATTTCCTAACTTAAAAAGATCCCCCAGCCAGTGCCTTCTGTGTCCAGGTTGTAGCTTTATAGAAAAACAAAGTACTTTGACATTCCTGAAAATTTTAAGAAATTAACTTTCACAGTCTTCTAGCTCTCTGCTTATTCGAAGCCTACTATAGAGTCTTTAAGCATTTTTGCTTGTGTCACCAAAGAGTTGTTTGTTCAAAGACAAATGACCTCAAGCCTGGAACTCTATGACATTCCATTAATGTCTGGTATTAATGTCAGGATTCTCATATTTGCTCCACTAATAGCTCCTCGGGAATATGCTTCTTTGCTAAGCTATCCTTACGCTCCCCCTTGTCTTTATTTTCTTCTCTTATTAACTAAAAAGTTTATATGGACTGAGACTTAACAAATTGTAAGGAGTTTCCCTATTAGGTAAAAAACAAAGGGTTTCAAAAACTAAAATTATTCACTCAAGAATATTTATCAAGCAGTTCATATATGATTAGCACTGTGCTGCTAAAGATACAAGAAATGAATGATGCACTACAATCTGCCAAGTGTGGCTAAAGACACTGTGTTTGTGAGGCATGGTAGACGTTGACAGGAATGGTAGGTAGGTAGAATAAGATCACAGAAGGTCTTTTATGCCATCTTAAGGGGTTTGGATTTATTCTGAAAATTGCGGTAAATCACTGAATGGTTTTAAGTCAGACAGTGACTTAAAACCATTCACTGACCTTTTCAGAGTTGTGCTTTGGAAAGATAGATATCTGTAAAGATTGTGAGGGTGAACTGGAGGAAGAAGTAACTTATCTAATCCCTGAAACACTCTATGAAGTGAGTATAGCAGGTATTCTCACTCATATTTTACACAGAAGGATTCCAGATGTCAAGTAATTTACCAAAGTTCCCCTAGGTCATTCCTAAGTTGAACAAAATCAGCGCTGCCCACACAGGAGTGTAGGTGGAAACCTCTGTGCCATTTACCTTTGGCTTCGGTCATGTTATCCTTCAAAATAATCTTTAGAGGTTCTGTTTCCACTGCTAATTCCAACTATTTTCACATAATTGATTAGACAGAACTTGTACAATCTGAATCAGATGCTTTGAAGCATCAAAGTGATCCATAATGTTCTTTTCTATTTCCTAGGCAACGGTCTGGGCCACTCATATTTTCTAATGTTGTTCTAAATTTTCTAAATCTTACATTCTAGGCTACAAATGAGCTATTGAAATATTCCAACTTTTTTTGGGGGGGGTGAGGGTCAGCAGGAGGCAATTGGCTGTAAAAAAGTGGCGTGTGTATCCTCTAATATTGTAAACATTTCAAAATTGTTGTCACTGGCTCAAATTGATTTTTTCTGACATTTGTGGAATATTATGGATGGCAAATAATTTGAATCAATAAGCTTGCTTGGGTTTTGCTTCTCAATTTTATAAATAAGTGCTGAGGGGCCAATAATGATTTTTCTCTTCCCTCCAAAAATATTCCTAGTCAATAAGTTTTTAAAAAGTTTATTAATTACAATCAATATTAGGATTAAGTTCATAGAAAATAAGAAAAAACAGTAGTTTAAATTATCCCTGGAATGTCTGGAATTTGTTAAGAGATGAAGGGTAACAACAAATCTGTATATGTTTTGCAAGGGAAAGTCAGTTTGCCTTTTTCTTTAGAACTGTGGCTCTTGAAGTGTGGTCCCAGGGCCAGCAGCATCTGTGTCATCTGATAACTTGTTAGAAACAGAAATTCTTAGCCTGAACCACTGAATAGACTGAGGGGAGAAACAGCAATCTGTTTTTGCAGAAGCCCTTCAGGTGATTCTGACATATACTGAAGTTTGAGGCACAATGGTGTAAAGGAAAAAAAAAACAACAAACATATGTTTCAGACTACAAAGAACATGGTTTCAATTCTAACTCCAGCCATGGAACTTCAGACACATCATCTATTTTCTGGTGCCATCACAAGATTACATGGTTATTAACTCTTTTGCTTGCCTTATTAGTATTGTAAATACTACCCAAGTTATTCTTATTCACTTGCTATGTTGGCAGTCTTCCCTCTCAAAGTGATTTGGATACATTCTTAAGCTTGAGAGCTGCTGATCTATAAGGTGCAATAATACACTGGAAGCACACCAGCTACATAACCTGAGGTGCCCAGTGCAAAATGAAAATGCAGCATCCCTTGCCCAAAAATTAAGAATTCAAGTAGGTGACAGCAGAGCATTAAACAAGGAATGGGCCCTACTAAGCTCAAGCCAATGCTTGCACAGATTAAATGCCTAAAGAAGAGTTTCTGCTTGTATCTAACCACACTTTTTTTTTTAAGATGAGAATAACACAATGCAATGAAAGTAGGCCACATTTCCCCCTCAGACACCACCAATCTTACCCTCTGAGCTGTATCTCTTCATAGATGGACCATGCTCATTAGCCTCTCCATCTTTTCTCACTGATGTCTGTCTTCCTTTCAGCTGTATAAGTGTATTTGTACTTCAAGAGAAAACCTAAAGTCCTCATCCTCCCTGAAATCTTCCCCTACCACCTTAACTCACTTAACTCTTGTCTTCCTAAACTTTTTATGTACTTGTTTTATACCATAAATTTAGCTCCTATTTTTTAAATACTAATGACTGCTGATGATTGTGTTCATGTTGTTTCTTGAGTTAGGATATAAGCATCTTACACAAGGAGATGGTGTCATCATTACGTAATGGAAAGAGTAATTCCAACGGGTTTTAAGGCTTGCATGTAAATACCTGTTTTATTTGCTGATTGTGATGTAGGGTAAATTAATTCACATTGAACCTCAGAATCTTCATTGGAAAAAAGGGGTAACAAGACTATTTAATTGGGTGCTTATGAGGATTAAATGAGATAATACATATATATAAAGACCTGGGTATAGATAAGGGCTCATGAAATACTAGTTTCTCTATCAGCTGTACCCCACAATACATCTGATTTGCTTCATCAGACAGACAAGTGTTGAACATAGAGGTCAGTATTCAATAAATTTTGCTCATTGGAAATTAAATATATATTTTTTTAATGTATTATTTTTCATGTATCCAGGAAATAAGCCAATCTTACGCTAAATTTTGTATAAAGTGTTATTGGCTCTGACTTGTTATAATTCTTTTTTATTTTCAAAGCATTTTCACACCTACTGTTAATAATACTTTACATGGCTGAAAATAGAGATATTCTTATTCTCAATGAGGAAATGAAGAATGACACCAACGGATTAAGGGATTACTCTAATTTACAAGGTACCACTGCAATTTAATACGCACTATAGTGCTCTTGAAGCTAAACTCAAACAAGCTGGCTCCTTGTCCAATATTTCTTTCCCCACTATAACCAATTATCTCCAGCAAATAAGAATATACCCGCAAAGTAAGTGTAGGAACTATTATTTCAGTTGATTAAAATAGTGTGAGACTATTTCTTTTTTTGTTGAGTACGCAGTGTGCATTCAATGTCTGTTGAATTAAAGTGCCTATTAGAGATCCTGATTCACAGAATAAAGAATGAGTTACTTAAATTCCTTTTTTGATAAACGTATTTTAAAAAGCCCACTTTCTTCTAGTTAAAATTTAAGAAAAAGGTCTATTATTTTTAAGAGTTTCAATTTGTAGCTTAACACATCAGGCTTGAAAACTGCTCCCTTCTCCTATCTTTATTATTGTACTCTTTCCTGCTAACTGGCACAAACCAGACGTGCTTGCCAAACTTATGACTCAGGCCTGTGAAGACATTTTGTAGCCTCTCAGTCACAGCCCAGGAACTCAAAAGTGTTCCCACGTGCACCAGCTAAACATGGTCCCTAGGCCAAAGGTCCCGTACTGTAGGGGCTCTTGCATAAAAGGCGAATGAGAAGGCAGCGCCCCCTTTTGCTCCCACCCCCTTCACGTCCGTAGTATCCAATCGCTTTCCTCTGTCGTGTAGTCGGCGTCCCGGATTGGCTGGGGATGAGACCGCGCGGGGCCAGTGCGCACGGGCGGAGCTCGGAGCCTTGTCCATCACGTGCAGCCTGGAGGCCTCCGGTACTCGCTGAGCACTTGGCGAGGTTGGGGGGCGGGGCCCGGGAACTGCTGCGCCTGCGTTGTGGGCGTTCTCGGGGAGCAGCTGCCGTCGCCGCCAACGCCACTGCTGCGTTCTGGTGTAGAACCTGGAATCCCTGCGTCTCGTTAACAATGAAGCAGAGTTCGAACGTGCCAGCTTTCCTCAGCAAGCTGTGGACGCTTGTGGAGGAAACCCACACCAACGAATTTATCACCTGGAGCCAGGTACGCGGTCGGAATACGGCGGCCTCCGAACCCCTTGACTAACCGCCTCCTTTCTCGCTCTCTCCCGCGGGGTTGTCCCTCGCGGCCTGTGACTCGACGCCCTGTGCGAGGCCCGTGGGGTGGCGGGATGCCGCTGGCCTCTGCATTCGGTCTCGTGGGGGACCCCTTGTATTATTGTTCCGGCGGAGAGTTGCGGGAGCTGCTGGAGCCCCGGCTGGCGCGGCTAATCCCAGGCCGCGGTGGGGGAGGGGCGGCCCGCGCCCGGCGCCGCGGCGGTGGAGGCCTCGTAACGGTCCCGCCCGGTGGGCATTCGGAACCTGCCGGGCAGAGGCGGGGTGGGGGGGGGGCGGCCGAGGAGCCGAGGGTGCGGGAGCTACCTTACCGCACACTCACACTCGGTCCTCCCGCCGGGCTCGCGGGGTACGAGCAGGCAGCCCTGGGTGGGATCTTCAACGCCGGGGTTTATCTGAGGAAATCTACCCCGGCGACCCGATTCTCCACTCCATACGTACGCTCCACTCTACATCTGGGATTTTTACGAGGGGAGCATAAATAAGCAGGGAAGGAGGCAGGTGTTCAAAAGCAGCTTACTGCTTATCAATAGGTTTTAAAATATGTAGAAAATAGGAGATATTGAGCCATTTATGTACACGGATTTTTATGATTATTTTAATGAAAGTGCTTATAAGTGTTGAGTGACTTAGTAAGGAGCTATTTTAAGTGAGTCACTATTAACAGTTGCTTCAGAGTGATAGATGGAATGCCTCGATTGTTGTTTTGATTCTAACTGTGCCACTAAACGGGTCATCACCTTAGGCAGACTCCTTATCTTGTCTGCCTGTGCTTCAGCATGGGTTGGTAAAATGAACGGGTTGCCTAGGTGATCCAATACCACTTCAACTTCCAAACACTAAAATTCTAAGCAGAATGATTTTTAGATGAACAATGTGTTTGCGTTAGAATTCGCTCTTGGGTCATTGCAATTGTTTTGTGAAGGGCAATGGATTTCCCCTGCTTATTATAGATGATGATCTGTTAGGGATATTTTCTTGTTTAGAGGTTTGGAGGAGAAATCAAAACTACCTGCAGTGTTTTCTCTTCTTTCTCTCTCTTCTGTTCCTTTCCTGTCATAGGAATTCCCAGTTATATTATTCACTTTTGTCTTCACAGGGAGCACTGTGTTGAGTACTTGAAGTTTTGACCACTGTAACACCATATTCTATCTTACATTATTGTCATTTGCCCTTTTTTTAAAGTCTTCTAGGACTTAATTTTTCTTGGGGTATCATCAACTGGATGGTATTAAGCATTTGATGAATTCTGTACAGTTATACAACGAAAGGTGAAAATAGGGAAGCCAGTTGCCTGCATACACTTAAAAATAAACAGATGTCTCATGCCTTCATCAGTCAGAAGGATTAAAAGTTGACAAGGATGGATCAGCACAGACTGCTGCTACTCAGCCTTGTATTCATGTTGCATATTGGATTTGAGAGTCTCCCTCCCACACAGACTGATTTTATCATGCTTTTTTGGCTTGCATGGGCCTTGTTTTTATTGCCTAGAAATGGTACATGAATACAGGGTCTGGCACAAATAACACCCCCTTTTTATTATAAGATCATAAGCGTGTATTTCTGTAACATCACAATAGCATACTCAAGCACACCGTATGACATTTTAGGTGAAATGTTCAAATAAAAACTGTAAATTATTACACCCATATTATTACCCCACCAACCACACACAAGCAGCCATTACTTTTGCCAGACCCTGTATGTTGGTAATTGGTTTTAATTAAAGGGTGTTATGTTAGTGGCAGGTCCAATAAATTCTTATTAGCCAAAATATTTTAATAACATTCTTATGGGCAGCATCAAATGTGGAGAATTTCATACTAATCCATAAATGCAACATTTTATGAATTCTAAGCCAAATAAGCAACTTAAAATCATTCCCATTTTTCCCATTATTAAGTCTAAACTGCACATTTTATATATAATGGAAAAACTAAAATATAAAATTCATTGAGGGCAAGGACAGTATCTATGCCAGGGACACAGTAGGTAATTAATGTTTGACAAATCAGAGAAGTTCTTGAAATATATAATGGGAGTGCTAAGGATGATGATAAAAATCAGATTATGCTTTAAAAGAACCTTAGAAATCATCTAGTTTAGACTTATCTTGTAGGTAAGGATTTGAGGTTTAGGATTAGTTATTCATAATTACAAAGCTAGCCATTATTTGAGGTGGAAGTCTAACATAGATTTCTGGCCTTCTAGACCAGTGTTCCAGCAACACCACAACACTTAATATAGGTTGGCACAATATTTAGTTACCAAAGTGTTACCCTTTCACAAGTCACTGGCCAGTTCTGGATTTAATATTGTTCAGGGCTAAAGCTTAGTGGCTTAGGGAAGCTTGCTCCTACAGATTTTTCCAAAAACAGTGACAATGAAAGGTAAAACTTAAACAATGATGTTAGATGGAAAAACCAAAATAAATTACTCTCATGTTTTAAAAGTTGCTATTAGGCCCCAGCATAGCTCAGTGGATTGAGCGCGGGCTGCGAACCAAAGTGTTGCAGGTTTAGTTCCCAGTTGGGGCACATGCCTGGGTTGCAGGCCATGACCCCCAGCAACCGCACATTGATGTTTCTCTCTCCATCTCCCTCCCTTCCCTCTAAAAATAAATAAATAAAATCTTTAAAAAAAGTTGCTATTAAAAAAGTTATTTTAAAGAAGTTTCTGGCTTCTTTCAAACTTGCTTTGCTGAATTTTGTTGGGTAATTTAGCATTTGTACTATTTCAGTGAAAATCATATTAAGACCTTTTAAAATGGAGACAACTGTATTCAACAACAATAAAGAATAACTTTTAGAAGCAGCAGATGTTTTGGAATGGCAATATTTTATGAAATTTTTTTTTCACTTGTGGAGAATAATTCACTCCTCCAGCTTGAGTGTAAGGCAAGGGGAGAAAACTCTTACCAACTAAAGTTTGGCTTAATATTCCTGAAGACTTGTGTAACTTCAGTTTTCTTTGAAACTTGTATTATGACAAAAATTAAAAGTAAAATAATATTTTCATTCTCATCATTAATTATAGAAATGTAATATTCCAAGCAATCAGAATTATACTGTTTTATTGAATCAAATAATAGAAATGTCTTGAGTCCTAGAGTGTCTTTAAAACTTACTGTACTTGTTTTATTTTTCCCATATTCCTGCCATGGAAGTTTCTTTTTACTTTCTTTTTCTGGTTCTTTCACTTCCTATATCTTCAAAATTTTATTTAGCTATTTTGGCTCTGGTAGTTAGTCTATTGCTGAATCAAGGACAGATAGTACAACTGGATGACCTAAAGCTGTTTCAGTTGTAAAAAGGTACTAAACAGAGAACACAGGTTTAGCTTGGAAGCAACTGGGGAAACATGACTTTCAGAGATGAGGTTATAGAAGTTCTTGCCATTGATAGTAAGAAGCAGCTTTTACTGCTATTGATATTTGATACTCATGTATGTTGAAGTGAAGCAGTATAAAATAAGGGGAAAAGTGGAAAGTTATTGTTTTGCCAGTGTTACTACTTTTGTCTGGACTCTTCAGATTGCTTGAGGAGACCAAGAAGTGATTTCCACTGAAGACTTTATATCCACCTTCTTTGTGTGTGTCCTTTGGCATTCTGTACATCCCTATCCCTCTCAAATCAGCAGAGACTAATTTGGACATACAAGGGAAAGGGTGTAAAAAATAGAATTTGTCCAGTGTTCCTAGTTATCTTGGTTGAGTTTGTAGGCTCTTAAACCTCCCAATGTTCTGGTATCGTTTTATAGTTCTCAGCAACCATTATGTTATGACAGTATTGCCAAGTGAAAACAAGAAAGGCCACAAATGTGACAGAGATCCACTTTATGTGGACCTAGAGAAAAGTTGAAAGATTGATTGAGAAGTATTTTTAGTTTGTATATGTAAGAGAGAATGAGCCCGAGACTCAGAAGGAATGGTTGGTGAACATTAAGAAGTTATAGACTGATTATTTAAAAAAGCATTGCTAATTTCTGTTCTGAAAAATGTTTTAGTAATGGGGCTGATGTATTAGATTATTAGTAAGTATAGTTTATGTTTTTAACCAAGAGGATCAATTTGAGCAGTAACAACTGCTGCTACTCTTCAGAAACTTGATAACATTTATGGGTGAGGCTTAAAGAGAAGCTGCACGTTTCTCTCACTACCCTTAGTTAATGGCTTTCCACCCCTTATAAAGTATGTAAAGAGTTCTGGGTTGTATTGCTTGAACCTCATAGGTCTAAACCATCAATAAGGGGGAATGTTTACATTCAGGTTATTTACTAATTTTAGAGTAGAGACTGCAGGAATACTGTAAGTAGAGAGACACAATGAGTGAATGAACTTGAATATGTGTGGGAGAGCCGAAAATAACCAAGAGGCATTCATCTTCTCATTTCTAAAACCCAAGAAACGAAGGTCTAAAACTAAAATCTGATGTACTGTGACACAAATTCTTTTATTCAGTCACTCACAAATATTTGTTGTGAATCTGTTATGGCTAGACAGTATGCTAATACTAGGTTTAGTAGTGAACAAAATGCCTTCATGGAGCTTACATTCCAGTGAAGGATACTGATAATTAAAAAATAAGCAGACATAAATAGTATAATACAGTTAGTGTAAGTACCATAAAGAAAATGAAGCAGGGTGAAAAGAGAGAGTGCCATTTAGGGTCCATTTAGGAGACAAATCACACTTTCTTGAATAGGGAAAGTTGAATAGAATTCAACTATATTAGGTGAACTGGAGTAAAAAAACTTTATAGAATAAAGGAATAGCAGTTAAAGAGGCAGCCGTCACTGCTAGGGCTAAGGTAGTGTCCAAGTTAGAGTGCCCAAGTAAAACCCTCTTCCCAAGTCTTCTTGACCATTTTGGAAAGAGTGTGACCATGTTTCAGTGAATGGCAACGAAGTTACTGGTGCCACACTGGT